TACAAAGTTTGTCGAAATAAGACCAAAGATTTCACAGCGAATCGTGTGCTGAACCCTAATTGGTGTGCTTAGGTGCATTCGCTTCAACTTGGTCATTTGATTCGCTTTGATAAAAAGGAACGAGAGGTTTCACTAAACATGATGCAGTAAAAATATTCATTTTCACATTGAAATGTAGAGGAGTCAGTTATTTCAAATATACTAATAGGGTGTAACGTGTATGTTCTTTGTGTCTGTTTCCAACAATTATTACTATTAATTAGTGGCAGTCTATATTTCTACCACGACAGTGAAGGCATCACTGGCTCAACATTGCCTTTTACACATTGTTAAGTACACAGCTTATAAAGTAATGTCCACTACATTTATATTTAAATATGATATATTTACCTGTGACAGAAAACTTCTCTGTTGTCATGACAACTTTCTGCTCATCTGCTGTGAACAGCAGTTTTCGTCCGTCCTTACTTCGCACCTCCAGCTTCTGACACTGGGCCTCCACAGCCTCAGGTCCTGCAGAGACACGGACAGGTTTGAGATTTTTCAGTTCATTTCGTGTCAGTGATTAATGGAAAGGTGGAATAAAAACCTTCTCCTGCACAGTGACAGGAAAATGAAAACCCAAATGTCTATTAAAACAAACACTTTTCTCTCTCTCGCTCTTTTTTTTTTTTTTTTTTACAGAGCTACAGTTGATCCAAAATTTGCAGCCATGGCATTGACTTTGTATTTTTCTCACAAGGTAACGTTGACTAAAAAGAGTTTCTAAGAAAAACAAGAATAATATCACTGCCAGAGGCATTCGGGTGAGGTGCTTAAAATTATAGGCAGGGCTTAGAGGAAAGCTGCCTTTTTCTTGTCATTGAGTTCTGCAGCAATGTTCAATATTTTATGAGTGTTTCCAGGGCTAAACACAATTTTTATTGGGATAATTATTATGCATAAGAGAACAGACTTTACCTTAAAAAGGTTTTATTTCACCCAAACGCTCACATCTCAAAAGTTTGATCCTTTTGTCTTGCCGTGGCTCTTCACATCAACGTCAAACATGTAAGAGGACATTATCATTGTTGAACACTCTTAAGTGTTTGACCCACAACAAACGGCGCTCCACAAATCTGCATCTGCCGTGCTTTAACATTTAACAGAGATAAATAAGAGCCTTCCTTAGCTGCTGAGGAAAACCAAATCATTTTCACATTACCCCCGCAAAATGTACACGCTGGAACTTCTAACCTACTTTTCCTTCCCTCCGTTTCCTGGCCACTCCATCTGTCCCTACCATTAATCCACGGGCAGACCGGGAAGTTAATTATTCTCCCCGAGTTGCATCTCATTTCAGACAAAATGCACTTTGTTCAAAAGCAGGCGCACGCTTTTGGTGGAAGGCCAAGCGTGACCAGAAAGTGTCAACAGCGCCAGTCTCATCAAATCAGCATCAAATCTCAAACTCACATTGTCCCAGATCAATAACTGCTCATGTTAATAAGCAGGTCACCTGCTTTCCAGTGATCATTAATCATGTAAATGACTCTGCTAATGACAATGATGTTAAAACTTTAGTTTAGTAGGAATCCATCGCACTTTGGACGAGGACATCGAGGGTTAGCGTGAATAAGAAGCCGTAGTCTTTTATAGGCAAATAATAAAGAGGAAGTGTTGTGATAGTGTTGATTAAAATAAATACGACTGATTGGATGAGTCAAGTTACAGAAGTCACAACCTTACATAGTCAAGTGATGAAAAAACAGAGCTCTTTATTGAGAGATCTGCTGCAACAAGAGGAGCCAAATATGTGGTTCCTCTGGGACTCAAACCCAGGACCTTCTGCTTGTAAAGGCAGGTTAGACACTACACTATGGAACCACTGTCGCAGATGTAGGCGTGGCCACAATAAAGTACATGTAAACAACCCTGGTCATTTCTCTTATACCAAGGTTGTCCAGTGACGCAGCACTGAGGTTTTTTTTATTTGGCCCAAAAAAATATAGGCCACGAGTGGTCTATATGTAAAATGGGCCAGATATCTTTAAACAAATGTGATGTGATATATATATATATATATATATATATATATATATATATATGTGGGGGAGAGGTTTTGTTTCTCTCTCTCCTTTACACTTTTTGTGTTCTCTC